TGTCTTCAGTTCCTGCTTGTTCTTGGGGCATTTTCCCTTCAGTTTTGTCTTCAGCAAGTGAAATGCATGCTCAATCGAATTCAGGTCAGGTGATTGACTTGGCCATTGCATAACATTCCACTTCTTTCCCTTAAAAAAACTCTTTGGTTGCTTTTGCAGTATGCTTTGGGTCATTGTCCATCTGCACTGTGAAGCGGCGTCCAATGAGTTCTGAAACATTTGGCTGAATACGAGCAGATAATATTGCCCGAAACACTTCAGAATTCATCCTGCTGTTTTTGTCAGCAGTCACATCATCAATAAAAACAAGAGAACCAGTTCCATTGGCAGCCATACATGCCCACGCCATGACACTACCACCCCATGCTTCACTGATGAGGTGGTATGCTTAGGATCATGAGCAGTTCCTTTCCTTCTCCTCTACTCTTCTCTTCCCATCACTCTGGTACAAGTTGATCTTGGTCTCATCTGTCCATAGGATGTTGTCCAGAACTGTGAAGGCTTTTTTAGATGTCGTTTGGGCAAACTCTAATCTGGCCTTCCTGTTTTTGAGGCTCACCAATGGTTTACATCTTGTGGTGAACCTCTGTATTCAGTCTGGTGAAGTCTTCTCTTGATTGTTGACTTTGACACACATACACCTACCTCCTGGAGAGTGTTCTTGATCTGACCAACTATTGTGAAGGGTGTTTTCTTCACCAGGGAAAGAATTCTTAAGTCATCCATCCATAGTTAGTTAGTTTCCATGGTCTTCCAGGTCTTTTGGTGTTGCTGACCTCACCGATGCGTTCCTTCTTTTTAAGAATGTTCCAAACGGTTGTTTTGTCCACGCCTAATGTTTTTGCTATCTCTGGTTTGTTTTGTTTTTTCAGCCTAATGATGGCTTGCTTCACTGATAGTGACAGCTCTTTGGATCTCATCTTGAGAGTTGATAGCAACAGATTCCAAATGCAAATAGCACACTTGAAATGAACTCTGGACCTTTTATCTGCTCATTGTAATTGGGATAATGAGTGAATAACACACACCTGGCCATGGAACAGCTGAGAAGCCAATTGTCCCATTACTTTTGGTCCTTTAACAAGTGGAAGGCACATATGCAAACTGTTGTAATTCCTACACCGTTCACCTGATTTGGATGTAAATACCCTCAAATTAAAGCTGACAATCTGCAGTTAAAGCACATCTTGTGTTAGTTTCATTTCAAATCCATTGTGGTGGTGCATAGAGCCAAAAATGTTAGAATTGTGTCAATGTCCCAATATTTATGGACCTGACTGTATATACACATACATATAAAAAAAAACACATGTCAACATGCAGTGTATCACAAAATATATGTAAAAATACATTTCAAATATACTGTATGTCTTTAAAAATACAAATCTACATTTTTGGAATCCATTTCCGAAAAAAAAAAAACTGAAGAATATTTAAAAAAAATATATATTTTAAAATAATTTTTTTTAAATATATTATTCAGATTTTTTAAACATATAAAAAAAAAAGTCAATTTAACATATTTTTTTACATATATTTGTAGATGCATTCCAAAAATGTAGATTTGTATCTTTAAAGACACATTATATTTGAAATGTATTTTTAAAAAATATTTTTTATATATTTTGTAGTAAAAAAAACACACACACACACACACACACACACACACACACACACAATGGCCATGGCAATATATTTGGGAAGAATATTTTTAAAATGGATGTCCATGCCAAAGTGGGCAACCCCCTGTGTTCAGTAAGCAGCAGGGCAGCTGCTAGACATGGGAACCAGTGAATTCCAGCTTCCACGGGGATCCCATAGGTATGGCACATACATACTTAGTGTTCCAAGCTGGACCAATGCAACGATTTAAAAACTGCCATACCTAAGCTTGAGCTTTAACGGGTCTTTTATGTACATTGTAAAGTTCTGAGCAAACTGTTGGCGCTATATAAATCCTGTATTATAATATTATCATTATTAATACTGTAAAAATGACCATACCTGGAACTGAGCTTTAATGCAGCGATTTTCATTAATACGTGATGAAATTTATTTTTTAATGCAAGCAGTGTGTCTACCCAAATCTGACCTGGTACAGGCTTCATGCAGTCCCTGTACAGCAGGGCTAAGACTTGGAGAAGCAGCACAAGCAGTCCGTTAGTAGTGCTGAAGTTCTCATGGCCAACAAGGAGTATACTGATAGGAATGAAGAGCAAAGTGACAGATAAGCTCATCTTTCTCCTGCTTCTCCTCTCCACAGTCTTGGTAAAGGCTGGAGCAGGGACAGTTATAGATTGGGGTGGTTGCCATTTGCTTGTACTGTTGGTGAATTGGTGAGGGGGATGCAGCGGATACCTTCGCTGCCATTGTGCTATAGCTGGGTGTCCAGTATGTTCCTATACCTACTAAGGAGGGGTGGGCTCCCTCCAGACATACCTGCCCTCAATCTGTCCATTATTATATAAGCCCCAACATTTATAGAGTTAGTACTGCAGTACACTGGGGTGCCGTGACGTGGCTTCTGCAGCTTAAGCATATACTTGCAAATGTGTGCAAACTAAACCCCTTGTTTCAATGTGCACTATTAGAAGGGTAATTCAGTGTGTTGTAGGCTGGCCGGTAAGTTGACCTGGGAATTTTTTGTTTGCTGTTTTTTTACATGAATCACCCTTCCGTGTGCTCCTTGCTGCACAGACCAGTTACAGATGAAGTGGTTGCCATTTGTTTGTATTGTGGGGGTGGGACAGGACCTTTAAATGTAATTTAACTACAGCAAAGACAAATCAGGAGTCCACCGCCCTGCCAGACAGATATACTGTACAGAAGAACTGTGTAATGCCTAGTACACACAATGAGAAAATCAGATGAAAAATACCGCTTTCGAAGCATGCGTCCGATAATCTGATTGTTAGTACACAGCTTTTGAGAGCCGGTCATGACAGTACATGAGAAAAAATCCGAAGGGACAAGCACGAAAATTTCTCTTGTACAATACCAGAACAAATTATTTTTGTTTAATCAATACAGTTAGGGACACACTGATACCATTTTTTAATCTGCAAGTACGAGTACCGATACTTTTGGTCATGTACTCACCGATACAGAGTACCAATACTTTTGGTCATGTACTCGCCGATACCGAGTACCGATACTTTTGGTCATGTACTCGCCGATACCGAGTACCGATACTTTTGGTCATGTACTCGCCGATACCGAGTACCGATACTTTTGGTCATGTACTCGCCGATACCGAGTAGTACCGATACTTTTGGTCATGTACTCGCCGATACCGAGTACCGATACTTTTGGTCATGTACTCGCCGATACCGAGTACCAATACTTTTGGTCATGTACTCGCCAATACCGAGTACCGATACTTTTGGTCATGTACTCGCCAATACCGAGTACCGATACTTTTGGTCATGTACTCGCCAATACCGAGTACCGATACTTTTGGTCATGTACTCGCCGATACCGAGTACCAATACTTTTGGTCATGTACTCGCCAATACCGAGTACCGATACTTTTGGTCATGTACTCGCCAATACCGAGTACCGATACTTTTGGTAATGTACTCGCCAATACCGAGTACCGATACTTTTGGTCATGTACTCTCCAATACCGAGTACTGATATGCGATTTGCATTAATGGACACAAATGAATAGCATGCAATTTGAACAGAACTGTGATCACTGTCCAAATCGCATGCGGATTCCTCACTGATCCTGTGTTAACCCAGGCTTACACAGCCCGAGACCACACAGGAGTGGTGCGGGAAACCTCCCTGCAGGCATCCAATGCAGAGTGTCAGTGGTAGGAGAAGGGAAAAAGCGCACAATCAGATGCTGTCTAACCCGAACTGCCATTTGCTGCAAAGAGAGGAAAGAAAGCGTCAGGATTTTCAAATCCCTGCTGCTTTCTCTCCTACCACTGACATGGGATGCCTGCAGGGAGGTTTCCCGCACCGCTCCTGTGTGAACTCGCGCTATGTCAATACTGGGTTCACACAGGAGCAGTGGGGAAATTACATGCGATTTGGACAGGAAAAAAAAAAAAAAAAAAGAAAAAAAAAAAAAATCGCATTCCTGATCAAATTGCATGCTAATCTTTGCAGTGCAATTTGCGTCCATTAAGAAAAATTGCACTGCAAAGCATCGGTTAAGGTATCGGGAGTATTTTCACGACTACAAGTACTCATGAGAATACTCGGTATCAACACAGATACTGGTATCCAACGGTGCATCCCTAAGTACAGTATTTGTCAAAAAAATAAACGAGTGACCAAGATTGCGCATGCTACACGAAAGTATACCATACATTACATCACTTCCAAAGTTGTATTCTGTCTTGAAAATTTTGGTAACTTTAGTAACCTCATCATTTTTGCTATGAGACTAGCATGCAAATCAGTGCCCATGCAAATAAGGGAGAAAAAAAAAAAGAAAAAGAAAAAGGGCAATAAATTATCCGATATTTTCATCATGTGTACGAGGAATAAGTGTTAGGACAGGATGGACAGAAATACCAATCCTTCGGCATGTAAAACAGCCCCCTTATATTAATTTTTTTAGCAGTTTTTATGGAGTTCAGTTTTAACATGAGCAGCTATATGATATTTTAGGAATATTGAGATTTTAGGAATAGTCCACCCTTTGCAAAAATGCATTAACAATTTTTTTTTTTTTTAAAAAACACGTTTATTAAAAGCCAGCAGAGCATTGCAAACACGAGCAAAGGATTGTAGGTGCAAATGCACAGGCTTCTGCATCTTTTACCCCCAGCTACTCTTCCCCCAGCTCCAAGTCTGTATAGAGGTACGAACTTTTGGTTATAAGGCTGGAGGAAGTTAATTACCCACCTCCCGCCCGCCATATAGTAATACGACGGGCGCAAGGTGGTTCTCTCGTTCTGGGAAGACGTAATATGACGTCCTCCCATTCTCACTGCGCATGCGCGGCCCAGGGAGCGCGCAGCACGGCGTTCGGCGGTGCGCTGTGTCCCTCGGACACAGCGGATCACTGATCATGGAAAAGAGCCGAAGATGTCGGCTCGGTCATGTGATTAGCTGTGTCCAATCACAGCTGATCACATGTAAAAACAGGAAAATGCCGGTTATCGGCACTTCTCTCCTCTCGAGCTGTCACGTTGACAGCTCGAGAGGAGAGCCGGTATTCGGCATTCCACAGATTGGACATGTACACTGATCATCAGGGCACTGATGATCCGTGTGCCCTGATGATCAGTGTAGCCCCAGCAGTGCCACCTGTCAGTGTCCATCAGTGCCTTATGTCAGTGCTCATCAGTGCCTCGTGCCAGTGCCCATCAGTGCCACATATCAGTGCCTACCAGTGCACATCAATGCCACCTATCAGTGCCCATCTGAGCTGCCTTTCAGTGTCACCCATCAATGCCTATCAGTGCCCATGAGTGATGCCTGTCAATGCCCATCAGTGCCACCTACCAGTGCTTCCTCATCAGTGTATCCTATCAGAGCCCATCAGTGCAGCCTATCAGTGCAGCCTCATTAGCGCACATCATTGAAGGAGAAAAATCACTTATTTACAAAATTTTATAACAAAAACTAAGAAAAAACATTTTTTTTTCTAAATTTTCAGTGGGTTTTTGGTTTGTTTAAGAAAAAGTAAAAAACCAAGAGGTGATTAAATACCACCAAAATAAAGCTCTGTCACAAAAAAATGATAAAAATTTCATATGGGTACAGTGTTGCATGACCGCGCAATTGTCAAAGTGTGACAGCGCTGAAAGCTGGAAATTGGCCTGGGCAGGAAGGGGGGTATAAATGCCCTGTAGGCTAGTGGTTAATGGACTATGAGTGCGGCAATGTCCATTGTGTTCCATTGAGAACTACGAGCCTCACTGGTGGTGACAGATGGGACTTGTACACTTCCATTCGCACATTCTGTGAATGGAACCATGAATGGTGGATGCAGATGTGCAGATGGAGGCATGCTAAATTTAAAAGAAAAAACAGGACACTGAGGGGAAAAGTGTGTGTGTGATTGAGAGAAATGTGACCATGTTTACATTACACACTAAATATAGGTGTAACATGAAACATGGCAACAAGGGTGGACTATACTTTTAAGCAGCCAATCACCCATGATCACAGAATGCCACAATTTGATAAAGTAGCAGATTTTATTAGCAATCAATCCCCTCTCTTTACCATCACCATGTCAATAGAAAGTAGTAGGTCACCCGCTCTATTATTGCTCATTTAGAAGATTCTTGGGGGATACTTTTACTACTACTAATAATAAACCTGCGCTAAATGCAACACATATAGTGAAACAGCAGCTGTCAAAAAATGCAGGCAACATACAATGAAATTAAGAAAACAATATGCAGCGCTAGTTCACCCCACATGTACATAAAACATATAATAAAAAATATTTACTTAAATAAAGTCCTCAAAAATAAATCCATGGTGTTTGACTGAAAATTATATAAAACCCATATCTGTGGGAAGAAACTGAGCCACAAAAAAGAAAAGATCCTCCACCGCCAACACTCACAGTCTCTTCCAGAAAACATAACCACAGATCATGCAGTCAAAACAGCATATATAGGGAATCTATGAAGGCAAGGAGTCCAGAACAGATCTTCTCCACCAGAGTTTTTCCACTTCTACTACTAATACTGGTCTGTGAGCTACTGGGATTTGTCCAACCTGGACCATAAATGACTCAAGAAGGCTACATATCTGTGGGAAGAAAACTGTGCCACAAAAAAAGAAAAGATCCTCCACCGCCAACACTCACAGACCCTTCCAGAAAACATGACCACAGATCATGCAGTCAAAACAGCATATATAGGGAATCTGTGAAGGCAAGGAGTCCAGTACAGATCTCCACCAGAGATTTTCTTAATACTACTGGGATTTGTCCAACCTGGACCATAAATGACTCAAGAAGACTACATATCCAAGCATTGCTCAATGTAGGGGTACAGTAGAGTGCGCCATCAATAAGCAGAAGTCGTCACCACTGCCCAAAATATTTTTCAACATATATGAAAATCTGACCTATCACTGATTGCTACCTTTCCTATGAAGAAAAGCGGACAATGGATTAACCACGTGTGCTGCAATCACTGGAAAGTTATCTGAGGACAGGCAGATGTTTCACCACCCATCATTCTTGGCAACATATCTTTGCCTTTCTAAGACTAGCCTAACATTCTGTTGACTGTTTTTTCCATCAATAGTGCTCTAGGTAATGCCGTCCTTCCCCAAAACCCCTTTCCTGAAGTGACTTGGCTAAAAAGTCTGGAAAACATGACTTACTGTTGGTCTCTGAGGATTGGTTTGGCAAACACCACAGAAAGTGCACTACTACCACAGAGTAATATGAACGGATTAGGCAAAAGGACAAGGTGTGAATACTCTCAAAGGCCAAGGCGACAAAGGGATGCATCCTTCCTTTTTTCAAGGTATTTTGGCCATTCTTTCTCCTCTGGATTATAGGCGTGCACTTTGTTCTGCTCTCCTGTGACCTGCTTGCAGCTGACAGTGGGGCTAAAGTCCGCTGTCGGCTAAGACCACTCAGCCAGCCCAGACTCGAGGGATCCCGATTTTGAAGTTGAGATCAACCCAGATGCCTGGGCCAGCAGCTGTCTCACCTATCAGCAATCCGCTGAAAGCCCGAGCCAGCCCCTCTTGCTCCCTCCCACAGCCCGGAACTCCAGTGAGTGCTGAAGGGGAAGAGCAGAGAGCTGGTGACTAACAGTCACTGGCTGTCTGCTCACTAAAGGCTGAGAACTGAGCAATCAGCGGTGCTTGATAACTCAGTTCTCAGTCTTAGAAGCAGCAGGGGATCAATGCTGCATCCACCTAGGATGCAGCATTGATTTTTAGAAACCCATACTTCTGTTTTAAAGCAGAGCGCCACCCAAAAGGGGGAAGTTCCGCTTTAAGGACTGCTCCCCCTCTCCCTATTAAGGACTGGCACCTTTGGGGGGTGGGGAGGGGAGCGGGTACCCAAATTTGACAGGTACCGGCTCCCACTGCCAATCTGATCGCCTAGTCCTCCCTCCCTTCCTTTAGTCTTTTGGGACACGTGACAGGTCCCAGAAGACTACAGGACCATTCATGAAGCGCAGCGCTACTCGCGCATGTGCAGTGGGTGAAGCCACAAGCTGTCACAGCCGGGTGCCCACACTGAAGATGCCGGCCTCCAGGAATACAGGATGTCCGGTGAAACGGGCTGTGGAGGACACACCACCGGGACCGAGGAACAGGTAAGTGGCTGTTTTTTTTAAAAGTCAGAAGCTACAGTTTTTGTAGTTGCTGACTTGTACTTTTTGACAGGTGAGTGGAACTCCACTTTAAAGAGGAACTAAAAAAAACTGTATAAACATTTTTTTTTGTGCTGAAAAGAGAGAAAAAAAAAAAAAAAAGGCAGAAAAAAATGCTAGTCACCAGTCACATCTGCAGCTGAGCTGACCTTTCCCTATTATTGACTAACCATGCCTATGTTCAGTACCGTGTCCCTGTGTGAAGGTGGCCATCCATGAAGGAGGATTCTGCTTCCTAACATCAAAGTCTTCAGCATGGAGAACAGTGAGCAGAATAGTAGCGATATCACTAAACCTCACTCTAAATCTCCAGAGACTAGCAGCAAGCGGCAGCAGAGCCTTAGATCTCACACTGCAGATACACAGGCTGTAGGAGTGCCTAGGCACACTGACATACCAGGCAGTGCACTGCTATTAGGAGAAATTCAGGACAAAACATACATTTTGTAGGATACATCAGTAAGCACAATCAACATTTCTAAATGTTCTCTATTAGAGAGCAAGTTTTCATTTTTTTTTTTTTTTTTTTTGAGTACAGGTCCAACTAACCGAAAATGAAAGCAAGGTAGTTACTTTCAACTCTCAGCTTAAAATTGTGCCATCAATGCAGCCAGAAGATGAGCTGCATTCTCTAGAGAGGATCTCCCCAATACTAGCAGGCTGAGCAATTGTCCTCCAAAAACTCCCGCTGAGCTGATGTAGTGTTTCTTAACCAAGCGTCAGGAAGCCAAGCTGGGATGCTCAATTTAGAAAATCTTGGCAGGCAAAACACCCATCTGAAATCAACCTAAAAGTTCATGAATTCATTGGCTTGTCTTACAGTGTTTAACCCCTAAATGACCTAACTGGCAGTACACTGCTACAGAGATCCCAATCCCATGACAGAGGACGTGTCCTAAAGTGTACTATCAAGCCAGCAGCCACAGGCAGTGTAGGTACTGGTCGCCCAACATCCATCAACTGATCACTGTCATTTGACAATGATCTTGTAACAAAAGTCTTGCAAAAAAATGCTGCGTCATAAAAATCCACCGCCCTCTACCCCTGACTGTCAAGGGCAGAAACAGAGGATCTGCTGCACTGTGCACAAACACCTGGCAATCATGCAAGAGAAAAAAGAAAAAATGAAGAAAAAAATACAAACAATGCCTTTGGAATGGAATTATTCCAGTCACCAAGGGCTTGTTCACACTTGATTTATTTCTAACTCTTGCCAAACGCAACTATAGCGTTTGACAGGCATTTGGGAAGCGTTTTTAACGCTCCTCAAATGCCCTATGTGCGGTTTTGAGGCTTTTGATAGGCGTTTGCCAAGCGTTAAAACTGCACCACAAACGTCTATAATCAAGTTAAAATGATATAACACTCCACAAACGCCTCGCAACTGCCCCGGCGTTTGAGGAGCGGCACCATAGACTTGAATGGGAGGCTTCAAATCCTCCTGACTTGATATGAGGCGTCAGTTTTGCCGCAACGCTTCAGTGTGAAGAGCACTGTCTGCTGCCACATGCAGAATTTTCACAGGCGTTTGAGAAGCGTTAAAAAAGCTTCCCAAATGCCTGTCTGAAGCCTGCTGACAAAGCTAGTGTGAACGTAGCCTAAGACACAGAATACCTCTGGTCACAAATGGGTTGAAGAACTACTCTGATAAGCATTGAACACATTTTCTTTTTCATATCAGCCTGCAAAGCAGTGCAGCCATAATCCGTGGAGGACAATGTCAGGCTCCTGCAAACTTTTCCTCCAGCTCCCTACCTCTGTATGGGCTTTCAGTCAGAGAAGTGGAAATCTCAATGGACTACAACGATTACTGTGCCAGATAGGACTTCTGCGCCAATTTCAAAAGTGATAGCAGCTGCAGGGGCGAAGAACCCCTGCAAGCTGTCAAAGGGATGGGCCCCGGGTTTGTGAGGTGGGTGCTCAGTAACATGTTACATCCTAAATATGGATGTAACATGTTTCTAAGGGCTTGTTCACATGTGCTTTGATCTCTTCAGAGTGCAACTGACAAGCAGTGAGGTGGTGTTCCATCGCCTCCTCACTGCCAGCTATAACCCCACACTAGCAGGGGGCATAGCTTAATTCATGCCACAACCACAAAGCAAAGCATCATGGCTGTGGCATGTGTACACGCCAGCTGCTGTCTCTGCAGCCAAAGCTGGAGCC